CCACCATCTCCCGGCAGACGGACACCTGCAAGACAGAGGGCCGGGGCCTGTGTCACTGAACCCTGCGCAGATGGCCTGGATGTGAAGGTGACGGAGCCTTTCAGTCCATCTGCTCCCATCGCCACTCAGCATCCAGGCGCCTCAGCCCAGCCGCTGGCGCCAGTCTTGGCCTGAACACCTTCAAAGACAGCGCTCTTTCTGTGGTGGGAACGCCCTGCCCCCACTCAACTTACTTATTTATTGTTATTTTTTTTTCATTTCTGTTAAATGCTGCTAAGTTAACAAACCTCTCCCTGAAAATTTCCATGATACCAGCTACATTTGGACCCAGAAGCCCAATAAATACTAACTCTTCTCCTCCATGCCAGTCCGTCAAGTATTTGAAAAGCAACCATGTCTCCACGAACATCCTGATCTCAGGCTAAAGAGTCTCATTTCTTTTGGTCGACTGGTTAGAGCTGGAGAGCGTGCATTCTAATAACTAGAACAACAAAACCACAGCAACACTGTTCCTTCAGACCCACAACCTCCTAACAGGAAACCCTCGGGTCCAGCTGTGTTTCAGATGTTTTGGGTTTTAGGAAGGTAATACAATACACATACGATTAGTATATATATCACCCAGTGGGGGTCAGGGGCAGACTCTATACTCAAACACATTGATATTTCTTTTTTTTTTTTTTTAATATATTTTATTGATTTTTTACAGAGAGGAAGGGAGAGAGATAGAGAGTCAGAAACATCGATGAGAGAGAAACATCGATCAGCTGCCTCCTGCACACCCCCTACTGGGGATGTGCCCGCAACCCAAGCACATGCCCTTGACCGGAATCGAACCCGGGACCCTTCAGTCCGCAGGCCGACGCTCCATCCACTGAGCCAAACCGGTTTCGGCAATATATTTCTATAGCAAACTGTACTTGCCTTCACACTGAATGAGACAAAGACCATACATAAAATTTCATACCAGTTCAAGTTAAGCTTTGTCACCAAATGCATTTGTTTAACAAACTTATTAAAAAACTTGGAACTTTTGGAGTTTCTTAGGTTCCAAATTGTAGATAAAGAATCATGAACCAAGGGCACACCTAGAGGGCCCAGCTCAGGTGACTGGGGAGGCTGAGCCACTGGCCCCACAGGACCCCTATCACACAAGGCCACTCTACCAATTCCAGGAGAAATAGCAGCCCTGCCCAACACATAGAAACAAACACAGGGAAGCAGCGAAAATGCAGAGACAAAGAAACATGTCACAAATGAAAGAAATGGGAGAATGCAAACTCCTGGATACAGAGTTCAAAACCAATTATAAGGTTACTCAAGGATCTTCATGAGACCTCCAAGGGACATAGTGAGAATTTCAAGAATCTTAGTGAGAATGCCAAAGACATTGAAAAGGACCAGTCAGAAATTAAGCATACACTAACTGAAATAAAGAATAATGTTCAGGCATTCAACACTAGAGGATTCGAGAGTCAAATCAACAATTTGAAATATGAGGAAGCAAAAACCACCCAATCAGAAGAGCAAAAAGAAAAAAGAATCCAAAAATATGAACATAGTGTAAGGAGCCTTTGGGACAACTTCAAGCATACCAACATCACATCCTGGGGGTGACAGAAGAAGAGAGAGAGCAAGATATTGAAAACCTATTTGAAGAAATAATGACAGAAAACTTCCATGACCTGGTGAAAGAAATAGACTTACAAGTCCAAGAAGCACAGAGAACCCCAAACAAGAGGAACCCAAAGAGGACCACACCAAGACACATCATAATTAAAATGTCAAGGGAATTAAAGACAAAGAGAGAACCTTAAAGGCAGCAAGAGAAAAGCAAGGGAGTCCCCATAGGACTGTCAGCTGATTTCTCAACAGAAACTGCAGGCCAGAAGGGAGTGGCAAGAAATATTTAAAGTGATGAGTAGCAAACACTTACAACTAAGATTACTCTTCTCAGCAAAGCTATCATTTAGAATTGAAGGTCAGAGAAAGACCTTCACAGACAAGAAAAAGCTAAAGGAGTTCATCACCACCAAACCAGTATTATATGAAATGCTGAAGGGTATTCTTTAAGAAGAGGAAGAAGAAGAAGAAAAAGAAAAAGATAAAATATATGAAGAATAAAATGCCAATAAATACATATCTACCAACAATTGAATCTAAAAATCAAAATAAATGAATAAGAAATCTAATGAACAGAATAAACTGGTGAATAAAATAGAATCGGAGGCATGGAAATGGAACAGACTGATGATTTTCAGAGGGAAAGAGGTTTGGGGGAGGGGTGGGAAGAGATTAAACAAAGATTTTATATGCATACATGCATTACCTATGGCCAACAGGGTGGCGAAGGCCTGGGATGGAGCGGGAACCAGGTGGAGGGGACCATGGGGGGAAAAAAGAGGGACATCTCAACAATACTCTCAACAATAAAGATTTTTAAAAAAACCGTTTAAAGCAAGAGCAAAAAAAAAAAAATCATGAACTTGCACTGCTACCACTAGTATAACCATTTCACAGATGTGGAAATGGAAGCTCAGAGGTTATACATCTTGCTAAAAATTACTTGACTAATAAATAGCTGACCCAGAATTGGAACCTAAACTTATCTACTGCAAAGGGCGTGCATACTGTCTGGTCCTCTGCCCTGTGCTAAAGAAGGACGCGTGCCCAGTCTGCGACAGGAGAAGCCATCTCCCGCTGGTTCATGCTCTTCCTCCCAGTCTTCCAGTTCTGACAACAGGCCTGTCCTTCTGCCGTAGCCAGGTCGCTTGCTCTTCATCTTCCTATTGGGAGTCTGCACTGAAGTTTTCAAGGTCTGGCCAGGCCATGGGTGAGCTCTTGGGGGAGTAACCAAATGTGCACCGATCCTCTACTTGAAGCGGCTACAGAGAAGTGGCATCATTTAAAAGAGGACGGCCCGAGGTAAGAACTGAGACCTGGACTCTAAACGCCCTATTGTTATTAAGTAGCCGAGACTTAGGCAAGGTCCTTGACTTCTCTGTGCTCCTAATAATAACTACAACAGGTGAAACAACACCACCTGCCTATCTGCTACATGCGACAGAATGTCACAGCACACATGTACTGACTGCCATCTGTGTGCTACGCACCACAGCCCGCACTGCATGCAGGCATGCCTGCTCTGTGCGCGGTGCAGAGGTGAAAGGCAGAGGAAGGACGAACTCTTCTGGTCTGGGGAAGAGGCGGGAGACCTGGGGAAGGCTTCTCAGGGAAAGGAACACGTGGCCTGGTCTTTCTGCCTAGAAGTAATAAGTAGAATTCATTTAAGGCGTGGACAAAGCTGTAGAGAGACGTAGGAGAGAAACCAAGAGAGCTTGGTGCCAGGCAAGGCCAGCGAGGGAGAGCTTCTGGGAAAATGGCTCACTTTGTCAAGGGGCACATTGAGGCTCAACAAGGCCCAACAGGTTCTCTCTGCTTTTGTCCATCGGGAGGGGTCGGGCCTTTTAGCATGACCTTTCAAAGCCAGACTGCCCTGGATTGAGGGCTGAATGGGAGGCAAGGCAATGGAGACTGAAGCAGTTGGTTTGGGAGAGGGAGGGAGAGGGTGAGAGTAACAGTAATATTGACATTTTAAACATACAGAGTAAATATTTTTAGATTTTGGGGAGAGTTCAGGGATGAAAATTGAAGGGGAGAAAAGATAATCCTAGGGTAGCTGAGAAAAGATGGGTCAAGACAGAGATGGAACCCTGGCTGGTATGGCTCAGTGGATAGAGCGTTGGCCTGTGGACAGAAGGGTCCTGGGTTTAATTCCAGTCAAGGGCATGTACCTTGGTTGCAGGCTCTTCCCCAGCTCGGGGCCCTGATTGGGGCTTGTGCAGGAGGCAACCAATCAATGTGTTTCTCTCACATCGATGTTTCTCTCTGTCTTTCTCTCTCCATGCTCTAAAAAATCAATGGAAAAATATCCTCGGGTGAGGATCAAAACAACAACAACAACACAGACAGAGATGGCAGGACGACGGGAACATCTGCCTCAGCTGCAGGGCGGCTCCGCTGGGGGGCATCTTAGGTGGGGGTTTTCATTTGGGGCTGGTCACACCTGACTTCTTGGTGAGGTAGCAGGCACCATGAACCTCTGTGAGTGAAAGAGCAAAGGGTGTGAGGCGGGGCAGTGACATGAAGTCCTGTTGGAAAGTGGAGAAGATGCTGAGCAGAGTCGGGGCTGGGAGGCGGTGTGAGGCCCTGTGAGAGGCTGGGCTCCCCAGGTGGATGGGGCACTGTCCCCGCTGAGCTGCTGGGAGCAGCTGACGCAGGCTCAGTTTCCGAGGGAGAATCAAGACATCTGAGTCAGAGACTGAGGCAGAGACTACTGTACTTTAAAAACCAAAGAACAGTTAGCCTGTGAGGCTTTCTGGCCTTGCAGAGAGAGTGGAGGTGGCATGGGATAGAGTTTCCTCTCCAGCCAGACTCTTCCATCACGTGAAAGTCACTTAACACAGCTGGTGAGCACCGGGTTTGGGAACTGAATTTATTCAAACCCCTGAGCCGCGGGCACTGTGGCCTCCCCAAGCACCTGCACTTGCAGTGGAGCCTTCAGATGGAAGAAGTGAGGCGTGGTTTCCCTTAGTCAGAGGCACTCGTGCCTGTTTTCCTTTACCATGATGCAGCCTCGATCACAGTGGATAGGACCTCCTCGTTCATGAAACCCTTCCCCACATTTATCTCCTGGCCTGTTTCCTAGAAGTCTGAGACCCGGCAGTTGAATGCCTTTCTGTGGCTGCATGGAGGGAGCTCTGAGGCCGGCGCCCCGCCCTGGGGCCTGTCCCGGGCTGCTCCATCCTCAGGCCTGCACGGACCTGCAGGAAATCACTTTTGTCTGTGCATGAGCCTGTGAACTTTGCCCTTTCTGCCAACACTATAGGTCAGACCCCTTTGGAGGTTTACCTCGGTAGCTTCTGAGTGTCGGAGAGTCCATAAAAACTCCAACATAGCCATAAAAATGGCCACGATTAAGCCACAAATAAGAACCACAAAGATTCCACCAATATTCTCCATTCCCAGTCCTGTAAGAAAGCGATAACAAAAAAATAGTGTAAAAGAGCTGGAAGACATAAACATTCTATCAAAAATGCTGAAGTCACTTAAATGACAGAAAGTCAGTCTTGTAGATGCTTTACATACATATTCCTTGAAGAGATATGACTATTTGCTGGAAAAAAAATGCATTGTAGCTGGAGGAAAAGTGGGGAGGGGCCTGAGTTGCCAATGGGGGAGACTGGAGAAGAGCTTCTGAGAGGGCTCTGGGAGGGGGAGTAGGAAAAGAGCTCAGGGAAGTTTGATTTCGCCTGTGATACCAAAATACCTGTACATTCTAGTATTTGCATAAAATGTAGCCCATCTTATTTATCATGTGTTTGCTTGATGTAGAATAATTGTTTTAACCAAACTATAGTTAGAAAAAGACATCTTTACTAAAATACTAATTTGGAAATTAAAACTTTTTATCTTACTTTTTATCCAATCAGACCAGTGGTTCCCAAACCTACCTCCCATCAGAACCACCTGGGAAATTTGTTAAAATATCGATTCCTCATTGTTCCCCAGGCTTATCAAACCCACACCTCTGGAGATGGAGCCCAGGAATATGTATTTAAGACATTTGATAGGTAACTCTTGTCCAGCAGCCCTAAAATTAGTTTTCAAATTGGCGTTTGTAGAAGTTGCACTTGACTAAGCTCCTTGAAGTCAGGCAGTTTCTGCTGGGCCTCCTTGTCTGGCAGATGCCTGGCGTGTGGTACATGGTCAGTGAGTATCTGGGGGATTACAAGGTGCTTCGTTCCCACAGCGCTGAGCACTGAGTGCAGTTCTGTAACTGCCTGTCACGTTGGCATTAAAGAACCCCCCCCCCCCAAGGGCACCTTCCACCAGGAAGATGCCCCGAGGCTGCTGGCACCGCGCTGCTCGGTGCTGCTACGTCTGCACGTCCGTCCCCAGTGTCGTCATGGGATGTGGAGCTACGGCAGCGCCAGGAAGCCCGCTTCACCCAACCCCAAGGGGTGAGCCGGGCCCAGAGCGGACGGCCTTGGAGAGCTGGAGAGAGAGCCCTGGGCAGCATTGCAGACGCCGCGGGGTGCCTGTGGTTTTCTACTTTGATTTTACCATAACACAGTGCCGTGCGGTGCCTCCCACACTAGGAGCTGCCGGCCACCACAAGGAGGGGCCCAGCGGACCTGTGCTCTGTCCCCAGCACAGCCCCCGGGCTCCAGGGGAAGGAGGCCTCTCTGTGATGATCAGAACCGGGGCATTAGTTTAAAGCTCAGTGATAAGGCGTGGCCACAGGGCATGGAGCAGGCTTCTGCCTCTGAGAAGTTGCTGGAGGTTTCCTGGAACACTTGCACCTCTAACCTGGGAGCATTTGGGCAGAAGGTTTTTGTCCAGAGAAACATCAGGGTCCAAGGGGAGGTGGGGGCACAGGGACACGTAGGAGAGCACGCACCCAGGATCCGGCTGGGGGCAGGCAGACGCTCCCGCGCCAGGTCTCAGGGGGGTGAGGACCAGGTGCGGGATGTGCACCTGAGCATCGTGGACAAGCTGGTCTCCCTGCTGCCCCTGGGAGAAGGCGGGCGGTGTCCCCAGGGAAGGGTTCCCACCAAGCAGGCCCACCTCGTCTGGCAGCTCCTGAGGGGCTGCTAGGTACTTCCTATCCGCTGCCCCTGCCACTTTGAGGGGTGCTGTCCTACATGGAAAAAACACCAGGGTCCCCTTGTCGGGCCTCCACTCCCTCGTGGTCCTGCAGGAGGGTCCTGCCGCTCCAGGCCCCGTCCGCTGGGGGGGCTCTGGCTCTCCCGGCCTCAGCCGCCTGCCCCTCGGCTTGTCCTCCCCCCCCTCGTTCCCTCTTTCCCTCCGCACGGACATGCTCCCACGTTGCTCCTTCTCACAGTGTGAAAGGATGAGCAGGAAAAAGGATGAAGACGTCCCGGATGCAGAAAGTCCCCGGCCCTCCAACTCTGTCCACTACACGCCCTCCTCTTCCCCTCTGTCCTTGGACAAACTTTTTGAAGCAGTTATTTCTATCAGAACTATTTTTAAAGACATTTTAAAGCCCTAAAATGCTTACATTTGGAGACCCCACCTCACATAAAAGCAAGTAGAAGAAAACGCGCCCACTTCTTACGTGAAATGCATTTTAAAAAATTTTCTTCTGAAATGACTTGATGGGAAAAAAAGGTTATAATTGGCTGTGATTTCTCAGCATCCATTGTGCAAAATGAGAAAAATCTCACACAAATTGTTTCTAAATGTAATGAAGTTTTTATGAATATTACATTTAAAAATTAATAAAGTCAAAACAGTGTCACATTTTGGAGATATTTAATTAAATATGTCTGTCTTGATTGAATTTTGCAGTTTTCTTTTTACATAATTTTCTGCAGGCCTCAAACATAATTTTGGCTGCTGGAAAACTTTAGGTTCTAGGGGGTCTTGTCTATGGATTTTGGAAGTGCTCTGAATTCACTTTTGTTTTTCCTATTCACTCCTTGTCCCATGCAATTTTGTCTTGTGCCACTAAAACCAGCCTCACCAAATGTGCCAAGGAGCATTTTGTGTCTGACGTATTGGGAAAGGTCTAGTCCTGGCCTTCGTGACCGCCAGCAGCCCTGGGCATCCCTGCTGCCTTGCCCGCCGCTGCCCTTCCACCTCCTCCGCCTTTGCTTGCCGGGAGGCACGGTCTCCTCCTTTTCCTGCGTTTGGCCTCTTGCTGCTCCTCCACGCACCAGGCTGTGACCAAATCCTGCCGATTTCATCTCTGAGACGCTTTTCAGTACCTTCCCCTTCCCTCTCTCTCTCCTACCACTGCCCTGGGTCCGGCCCCGCGTCTCTTCTGGGACAGAATGATTTCCTGCTTGTAGCTGTGACCCCCCAGCCCTACTGGACACCGAGTTGCCTGGGTGGCCTTTCTGAAAAGCACAGTCTAACTCTACACACCCTCTGGTAACAGAGCTGTTGGGAGCCCCCAGGGTACCCCACTGTCAATCCTACCTTGTCCTTCACTCCTGTGAGCACCTCTGCCTGGAACCTGTGCCCACCCCCATTCACACCCTGGCTACACCCCCTCCTTTCAGATGGAGCTCAGGGGTCACCTCCTCCAGCTCACTTCTTCCTGGTGTTGCCTGATTCTGTTAGTTGTATCGCTTTTGTGTTTTACTGATTCTGCACTGTCTACCGTTCCAAGGCTGCATAAAACAGTACATGAGTTTAATTCTGTGTTATCTGGACTCCCCATGAGACTGTGCACTCCGTGAGGGGGGGTCCACCTTGCTCAGCTGGCAACTCCACAGCCATGGTGGTGGGAGCCCAGTGAGAGCCCGAGAAGTGGGTGTTGAAAGAATGAGCAGACAGAAAGAGGATGAAGACATCCCAGGCGCAGAAACCTGAATTATCAAAAGCTTTGGGTCCACACTGTGATATGTGTTCATCCCCAATTACATTTTGTTTGAAATAATAGTAAAGCGTGGCACCCCTTGCCCAGTGCTCCCAGCCTGGTCAGAGGCATCAGCCCAGACTATACTGAGCGGCTGGCCAGGGGAACAATGCCTGCTGTGCGGGGCAGCACTTCACGCAGGCAGGCGGGAGGCAGGCGGGAGGCCGGCAGACGCTGGTTCTGTGCCGGCAGACGCTGGTTCTGTGCTGGGTGATTTTGATGAGCCCAGGGAAGCTTTCTGGAGGGCCTGAGTGTTGAACAAGATGCTGCTGGGGACTGGGAGTCACAGACACCCCACGGGCGGGCTCTCTTTCCCAGCTTCTCCTGTTTCAGGGCCCCGTGTCAGTCATCGGCACTGGTTCCAGCCGGTGGTTCCTGGCTGAGTGGTCTCTCCCTTTGGGGGGAGCCTTATAGGCCACTCGTGCCTTTAGGGATGCGTTGGAAAGTGGAAGCAAGAGTAGATGCTGGCAGAGTCAGAGCTGAGAGACAGAGGAGCGGGGGTGGGGGGTGGTGGGGGGAGTGAGTGCTGAGAGAGGCTGCAGCACTTTTTTCCTCACTGTCATGTCACCCCTCATCCTCCCAGAAGTCAGATGCCTTCAACAGCCCAGTCCCTCAGAGCAGCCTCTGGTGGGGCTCCTTTGGGCTTGACCACAGGACCTCACTGCCCTCCCAGAGGCACCCCCAGGGGCCATCTATCCCCGCCCCCCGCCCTCTTCAGATGGGAGCACACAGATCCACCTAAACAGAAGGTTCTCAAACTGTGGTTTCTACTGACACTCGCCTCGAGCCTCCGCTGTGCCCTAGCAGTAAGATCGTATCGAGTGAAACAGAATTGAGCTCTCCCCACAACTCATGGTTGTTAATACTGACTTGGTGTCACACACAAATACAAACGACAGCTGACAGACACATAGAAACAAACCTGTTTCTAAAACTGCAGAAACTGTGAGTTGCTGAAGGGAGCCCGGGAGGGTGTGCCTCTGAGCAGATGTGGCTCTCCAGCCCCCACCCACCCGCCTGCCCTGCCTTCAGCGTGGACTGGGGAATATCACCGCTTGGGGTTGGGTGCGTACATGTCTCATCCCTCCAAGCCTTGCATGTCTCCAGGCCGCACTGTAGACACGTGCGACTGAGATGCAGGGAAGTTATTTTTGGACAAGGAAGGGGCAGCTGTGGCCGGGGAGGCAGAGACAGAGAGAGGCCCCAGGAGCCACGAGGCAGGCGGGGGAAAGGAGAGACTGCGCAGTCTCGCCAAGGGACAGCGCAGTTCTTCTCTGACGTCAGTCAGCACGCATTTTTAAGGAGCTTCCTGAGCCGAACAGGATGCCAGGTGCTGGAGCTCTATGCAATGCTCCCCATTGAAAACATCTGATCAGACATGAATTTTTTAACCAATATGACTTTCAAGTACCTTCTATTTCAGAATCACATTCACCTACAAACATATGCAATGGCCCATCGCCACACTTATTTGTTGTAAATAGCAACGTCACATGGGCCACGTGTAAGCTGCCTGCACGGCCTTCCCGGAAAAGACGCCGAGGACTGGCATAGCATGCTTGTCATTCTCCTGGCACTTCC